GATTAAACAGTGGTTGCTATAGCTAGCTGAACTCTCCGTTAGTTTGCATTGATTATATAGTGCAGAATTAATGCATAATCACTCTCTAAAGCCACAGGCTAATCAACATGAGCTTCTGGAATAGTTACTGCTGAGGGCTGGCAGAAAATAATAGCATTAAAATTAACTATATGCAGGATTAACTTTAATAAAAAATTGAAAAGAGAATACTGAAAATTAATAGACAAAAGTAATTTTAATAAAGCATTAAAGTCAAAGAGCTGCCCAGTTAAACTTACCAACTGCAATGTACACAGCTTCAGCAGCAATGAGAACAATTTTAATATATACTAATAATAGATATCATGCCTTTATGATGTCACAGATGTTACAGTGCCAACCTTGGTTACACTTACTGAGAATACTCATTTTGGGATTATTGGAGAAGCAATCTACAATGTCTGGTTTTTCCACATGCCAAACCCAAATATGTAAGATTGGCCTTCCCACCCATCCCAAAAATATCCCACCATCAAACTCAGAATGACTCTCATCCCCAGTCATCCATTCCTGCCTCTCTCTTTATTTAATGGCTGGTCTGGAGGGGGCCACCAGTTTATTGTCTTTCCTCTATGGAAGTAGAATCATAGAATCAGAAGAGACCTTGTGGGCCATTCAGTCCAAACCCCTGGCAAGAAGCAGGAAAGAAGCAGGAAAATCACATTCAAAGCAGGCAAACACAAAGATACATAGGCACATTACACTTCCACTCTCACAAAGACACACAAAGGTCTTCATGGGTGAAACCATGGAAGAAATAGTGACAGGCCTGGCCAGTGGATTTTTACAGAATTGACAAACTTGGCATTAACAAGGTCAACAGGGGTCTACAGCTGGTGGATGAGTTGGTTGAATAGGTGTACTTTGGCATAAGATAACTGGTAAACTGCAGCAGCTGTTGTATTTTGACTTCTGATTCCTACCTGGAAGAGTTCTCCTGTTGCATCTGTACTCTGCAGCTGGATTTCCCCTGTCCCCAGTTCTCAACCAGTGAAAGAAAAGAAAGCATGTGGTATGTCATCATCCCCCCCCCCCGTAGAAAATTTGAATAGAAACATGTGTTTAATTCTATTGTGCTGTCAAGTCCAAGGGTTCAGAGAGAAAAGGAAAGAGCTGTCTTCATGAATAACTGTTTTGCTAAATGTTTGGGCAGGAGTGGAGGGGACATGTTTGAAAATAATATTATTTGATGTGGGAGATTATTCTTAATTACATACAACACATTTTCATTGGAAAATTATAATATCACATAGGAGATGAAGTGTCAACCTAATTTTGTCTTTTGTAATGGGGTATTTGTTGTGTGTGTGGGAGGGGGTGTGTCAAGCACACACACAAAGAGAATGCTGCGTTTGCTCAGTGAAAATAGGTCAGCAAGGTAGGAGATACATTTAGTTAATTGTTGGCTCCCAATGAACTACAGAGGTAGCATTCACTAGGCAGCAGAGAAGATAAAGGATCTCTGAAAAAACTCCCAGCAACAGGATAGTGCCATGTTTTCACATCAAAAAGCAATTTTGAAGCCTAGAATCTCTGTTTGAAACAGGTTCTAGGTGAGCAAACAGGGCTGTTAGAGGTTTAATTGTGTCTAACACTTCTGTTTACTACAGTAAATCTTGGAGAATCAGGACACACTAAATATACAGAGAAAGCAAGTTTAATTGTGTCTAATACTTCTGTTTATTACTGTAGTCAATCACAGAGAATCTAGACACATTAAATATACAAAGAAAGTCGATATAAAGATAATTAAGCATAATGTTATATTCATTACAGTCCCTCACCTCCAAGCCTATATAAGGCTTATATATAAATCCAATCCTTGGCTCTTTGGGCTCCTAAATAATGTTGCCAGATTGAAACTAGAGAGGGCTCCTGCATATTTAATGGTTGAATAGAATCATAGAGTTGGAAGAGACCATAAGGACCATCCACTCCAAGAAAAGGGAATTTTGTCAAGTTCTGCTTGTTACTCTTTCACAAGATAAGTCACATCTGCTGAAATCCCCTCTTTTGCAGAATTATTCAAGAACCAAGAGACTTTTTCTGCCAATACATACACCACTCTCTATGGCTCCTCAATTGGCCCCTCCCAAGATAGGATTGTAGTTTCCCTGAAAAACTCTTTACTCACTATGACATCTGTGCCAGTATCTTCTTTCTTGTTTCCTTTGGATTTCTTAATGTCTCAATATGTAATTTTATTTCCAGCATGTATATTGCATATTGTTTAATATTAGCCAAACAAGTTCTTTTCAAAATTAGGAAATCCGTTACTTTTTCAACATTTTAATACTAATTCTAGCAGAGAAAACATATACATTTAAAAGACACTTTTATAAAATGGCTGGTGCTACTTTTCAAATTATTGAACCAGACTGCCATCTATTGGAAAAGAGATAGTGAAGTCAGAAAGAAAAAACAACAACTGGCTAAGCATTCTGCTGATACACCATAACAAAGAAATTGCTTGCCAAATGATAATTTTTAGAAATTTGTCATTACAAGAATATTTTAATTCCCTTGTAAGAAATATATGTAGGCTGCATACAGAAAGGGGTATTCGAGGCCGTGTTCTGCCTTCATCTCAGACAAATGACTTATTTTTCTTCTCATGTTAATCAACACAAGGTCAGTATTAGGAATTGGTTACATTCACAGGATGCTACAAAGGAAATTATTTGAAAAACTGGATTTTGGGATGATATCATTTTTTCTAGTGTGAGAGATTTGTATTGTATTATTTTAGTTGCTTCCCTTATTTTGAGTCAACAAAGATATTTACAAAAAATACGTTTTCAAATTGTATCTTCATTATAGCTGGGTAGAAGGTGTACAAGTATCTCAACACAAACTCACTATATTTGGTTTGTGAAGTAACAACAGAAATAATATTCTCAGGTTTTCTTTTCTTCCATTCATAAAACTGTCTGGATATTAAAAAAGGTAAAGGTCCAGTCATGTCTGACTCTGGGGTGTGGTGCTCATCTCCATTTCTAAGCCGAAGAGCCAGCGTTGTCCATAGACACCTCCAAGGTCATGTGGCCGGCATGACTGCATGGAGCGCCGTTACCTTCCCGCCGGAGCGGTACCTATTGATCTACTCATATTTACATGTTTTCGAACTGCTAGGTTGGCAGAAGCTAGGGCTGACAGCGGAAGCTCACACCGCTCCCCGCAATCGAACCTGCGACCTTTCGATCAACAAGCTCAGCAGCTCAGTGCTTTAACCCACTGTGCCACCGGGGGCATATATATTGAGACATTATTTTGAGGAAAAAAACAATAGATATTTTTTTACATTTTAGTACTTTTTAAAAAGAAACAATTCTAAAGGAACTTTTGCAAAACATATTGCATTTTGTACAAACATTTTTTTTTCACAAAAAGGTATTTTTTTCACAAAAAGTATTTTGTGTTAAAAACATTTTGGAGAATGTTAGCAAAAGGTCCCAATTGTGAAATATAATTTTAAAATGGAAATAAACCCTCATCATAAATAAGCAAATAACATAATCAGATTTGCAACCATGTTGTGGGACCTTCAAATATTGGACATTATTTGAAATATTCTGAGATGTATATTGCTTGCTCCAGAAAAATATTTCTTGTTCCTTTTCTGTTAGAATTTTTAAGTAAATGTACATATTACTTGCTATCAATTATTTGTCTTGTTGTTATGTGCCTCCTTGCATTTCTGATTGATAAGAGATCCTAAAGTGAACCTTCGATTGGGTTTTCTTGGCAAAACTAGTTCGTAGGGGGTTTACGCTTGCCTTCTTCTGAGGGTAAGAGGATACAATTTGCCCATAGTCATCTGGTGGGTTTCCACAGTCAAGTGGGAATTTGAATCCTGGCCTCCCAGTGTCCTGGTCCAACACTCATATCACTATGCTCCCTCTCATTTACTGTTATATATCCTTAAATAACTAATCAAGGTATCTCCAAAAATGATTAGAGTTGAGCTTTTTTATTAATTGATTTGATTTTTTAAATCTCCTTAGTAAATTTGTGAGAACATCTACTTACATTAAATAGTATTAACAAGCTGTCTCACATAATGGTAGCTACCTCTTTATCATCTCCCCCCCCCCCCCCCCGTCCCCATACACACAACTGTGAACACATATGTGCATCCTTAGTCTCGCAACCTCAAGGAGTTTGGGAATTCAATATTTTATGCCTTCCCAAACTTCTTTAAACTTCAGCACAACAGAGTTGAATTTCTCCTCCTCCTCCTATATAAAGTCACGTGTTACTCAACAAATGCCTGCAATTGTTCTCAACAAATGCCTGAAATTGGAAGTGTGTCTTCCACCAAAGCTCACTGAAATGTGAAGGCCTCTGATCACCCTCAAACAGTTGCTTTTGGATGTGGACGGAAGATGTGAATCTAGAAAGCAGAAGAGATCTAGAAGGTGGGCTCAATTTCAATTTTTTTCATTCTATGATAATTATTTCTATCTAATGATGCAACTACTGCCTTTTTCTACAGAGTCAAGGAACTACTATAGAACTATAGTAAGACATTCATTACCCCTGAGAGGATGACATGATTTTGCTACTTTAAACCCCCTGAAGTGTACTTTAATAAATGCTTCATTTTACAAGTAAAATCCATTTTTCTTCCTATGTTGCTAATCATACATACCTTCAAGGCACATTTCTGACTTATGGTGACTATAAGGTGAACTTATCACACTGTTTTGTTGCAAGATTTGTTGGGCAAGGTTTATTATTGCCTCCTTCTGGAGCTGAAAAGGGTATGACTTGCCCAAGATCACTCAGCACATTTCAACAACCCCGTGGGGATTTGAACTTTAAGATTCCTAGGTGCAGCCCTCAGACCACTACACCACACTGGCTCCATTGAAATGAAATGAATTTAAATTAGTTGTGATTACCAGATCATATTTTTCAATGATTTTGTTAACAGCCACATGCTAAGTAATTTCACTTACTACAGTAGATTTGGCTTGGCTTCCATTCATCACAGGTTCTTCTTCTGATGCTTTGCTAACGTTATCAAGATAGTGGTCTGATACCGTATGGCACAGCTCTTCCAAAGAATAATCCTTTTCTTGGCAAAGTTTGATTTCATTCAATAGTTTTGATAACTCCCCAGTCACAACTTCACCTTAGGAAACAGCAAAATAAAATTACTTGGAATAGTAGACCAAGGAAAGTAATTCCAAAAAAAAGCAAATATTTTTGCTAATTGCCATTCAATCCTAGAGATGATTTAAAAACTGGAATCTAGCATTTCTCCCCTTTTACCTAACCTAGTCCTTCCACTTGAGACACCTATATTTATCCCTGCAAAATGTACCAAAAAGACAGCACTTGTTATGCCATTGGTAGGGAATACAAATTCCATACAGGAATCTGAGCCATATTCTGTCATAGGTGACAGCCGTTTTGAGAAGAAACATAGAAACTGCTCAGTGATTATTTCTGATATAAATACTACACTTTAGATCTGCTTACAGTGTGCATTCTGGGAATTAATTCCACAGAAACCCACAATTAAATTGATTCAGTTAATCACAATTAACCTTCTCTTTTCCTAATTTTGGAACTCCATACATGGCTGCCTGTGATGATTTTACTTGTGAATTAAGTTCCCTTCAGGGTTGAGCTGGGGGTGGAATACAGTAAATAAATAAAATTAGTAGACACTATATTTCATGTTGATTTCCATACCTAAGATCATGAGTACCACTATGCCGTGGACCAAAAGAGAACTGAACAATTGAATTTCAGAGTTCTATAAAATACAAATCCCCAAACTTATTATCTTCCCATAAGCTGTACCAATATTTTGTAGTAATTCTGTTATATAATCTCACAGTTTACAGGGTTCAAGAGTATTTACCTAAAGATGGGTAGAAAGGGGGTTGTGTTGATGTACCCTGCTACTCAATAGTCTCCCTTCCTGAGCTAGCCAGGGTGAATTGGTGTTGGGAGTTTCAGTGGCTAACAGTGCTGGGAAACTTCAACATCCATGCTGCAGCTTCCCTATCAGACATGGCTCAGGATGTCATGGCATTCATAACCATATTTCTGCCCCAAGTTGTGCCTGGTTCTACTCATGCTGCTAGGCACACTCTGGATCTTGTTTTCTGTACAGAATGGGAAGGTGGTGATTGTGGTGTGGAAGAATTCTTTGCAGTTTCATTGTCAAGGACTGACCATTTATGTGGTCAGGTTTAAACTCTCTGGGAATCAAAATTTCTACTGGAAATGTCTGAATTTTGAATGTGATTAACCACACAGAAGGAAGAGATGGGTAATGAAGTTTCAAAATTTTGATTTTCCTTTATTGCTATTTTAGAAATTTGGCAACGTTACTATTTACACATTTTCTATCATGAAGGAGTCCTGGGCCGAGGAAGGCAATTAGCTTTTTTCACCACTCCAACTGAAGACTTGTGCTTTAACCATTTGATCAACAACTAAGAGGGATTTTTTTTCTTAATGTCAGCTTGCAGCATCCCTGCCAGAACTACACTGCAGGCTCAGTAGGTAAAGAGTGTTAAGTATAACTGCTGTTGCTGTTTTCAAAACAGCAGACAGTCTACTGGCAATGTCTGAATATTGAATATGATTAACCACATTCAGATGGGTCCTGAAATCTCAAAACTTCAATCCTTTGTGCTGACAGGATACATTGTTTAGTGCTGATGGAAACACATACGGTAAACAAAGCTGGAGCCCTGAAGCAGTTCCAAAAACAGCCCTCCTCCTTTGTGCACATGTGTGAAATATTCTAAGAGTGTTGGCCTAGAAATTAAATATGAATAAAAAATGACTTAATTGCAAGGCACACTATGCAGTATGTGCTTATATCGTCATACATAAACCTATTTTAGCCCTGTAAATTCACTGAGCTGATTCCATGAATTTTTTACTTAACTGCCAAAATAATGTTCATGACAACAGAAGCATCAGAGGATTAAGACAATAACTGAGAAAGAAACTATACCATTTTGTTCAATATTGGACCTCTAGCCAGTTAAGGGCCTGGATCAACTGTACCAACTGAACCACTGATAATCCAGCCATGACTGCATATGTTTGATAGTACCATCAGCCACCTTTGCCAAACAGTTCTGAATATTTTGCCAATGTTTTTAAAGATGAGATGGAAACAAAATTCTTATTTTCCACAACTGAGGAAATTGCTGATAAGATTGATACGGCATGATCTTCAACAACTACTGCAACATCTTACTAATATTTTTTAATAAAACATTTAAAAACGTATTACTCATTCACATACTTCACTGTTACAAATAAGCAAGGACCTCCATGGTTGCTGTAGACAGATTAGTGTAGGAAAGAAGTAAAATATCACAATAACTAGGCTTTTCATTATATTGTTAACACATTTCAATATGCAACAATTTATGGATGGTAGAATATTTACTTTTAGTTGTTTGTGTTGGAGAAACCTCTGGAAATATAACACAAGTCTGGTGATCCTGGTGATTTGTCACTGGACATTCTTGTACAGGTTCATCTGGAACTGTAGCATTTCCTGTTTCTACATACTCTGTAGTTAGAACAAACGCGCAAGTAAAATTACCATATTCATCCAGATTATTTAGTGTGTATGTGCATTAACATGGATATGGCATAGCACACAGAGAGAGAGAGGGAGAGGGAGGGAGAGGGGGGGAGAGGGAGGGAGAGAGAGGGAGAGAGAGAGAGAGAGTTTCTATTTCAAAATATGCCCTGAGTGCACATGCATACAAATTCATCATGTATGCTAATATATGAGAAGAGGGATTCCGCTACACTTAAGATTCTCTACTTTATACTTTCTTCCTTATTCTGTATAAGTTAAATTCCATTCTGAAGCCTGTAAAATTTCTTATGAATATGGCAATTATTTACTCCTTCCACATAAGTTCATAAACATTCAAAGCTTTTAGCTTATGTTCATGATAAAATAAGTCTGTTCAAGATATTTACAAGTTATGACTAACAATAAAGAAAGATGTTTTCTCCAGCAACCAGAAATGGAAATATTAAAAATAAGAATCCTTCAACTTGGTTAAAGAACAACATGTCTCAACATGGAAAAGTGGAATGATGTTTAAAATAACAATCACCTGGAATTCATTGATTTTTATTAATTTTATTTATTCAAAAATATGAATAGATTGAAAGGTCCCAGCTTTTCTGGAGATCAAAATACTCTTAATAAGGTCAGAAATCTTTTCACAGTGGATACTGGTGCTTTTGCCCATCTGTGATGGACAATACAAGTGAACAGCAAATGAACTTCTCCCTCTTAGGAAAAGGGTGTGAAATTACCCATGGCAAAAAAAGAATAAAGAATTCAATTTGCATTACTCATGTGAGTAATGGTAAGCACCCAGTTTTTTGTAACCAAGGAGACCCAAATTATTCTCTTAAACATGGAGCTGAAGTGTGATTCTGAGATGTAGGTATAGGTAGGTGATCAGAGATAATACTTAGAGCCCTGTTGCAGGATTTCAAAACGTGATAAAAAATTCTATTTGTGCTCAGAAAAAAGATGAACAGGAAAACCCTGTTCAGCCAAATTTGCCTTTCTGCCAGTGCACGTGCTCTCTCTAACACACACACTTTTATGGGGATGGAGTATCATCAGTCCTGACCTAAACAGTGACTTATTTTTTAAAAAAATCTTCAGTTAACAAAAGGGTCTATGAGTTTCAGTGACTGAAGCATTCAAGACACCAAATAATGAAGGAGATCACCAAAGCTTTGATAGGATATTTGGACTTTAACCAAACATGGGCTAGAGCTCATTGAAAAGCCTATACTATGGCAATAGTGGCAGCCAAGTAATCTTTCTTCACTGAACACAGTGTTGTCCAGTGGAGCTGTTTTGAGAGAGCCTTTTACACTTTGCCCCACAAGAGTACTTTATAAACCACTCAGCAGCCCATTGTGAAGAATTTGCAGTGCACTTCACACAAAAAATTGCCCGGATGTTGTAGGTGATACAGGTCTGATGGATGCAAGACTGCTGCTTGACCAATGCAACCTGAAGATGTGGACAGGACCCTTGGAGAGATGGGAGCCAGAATATGTATACTGGACTCATATGCTTCCTGGCCGCTGAAAGCAGTCCGAGGAGACTGGTGGATTGGGTAAGGGGAATAGTGAGTACTTCGCTACAGCAAGGCAAGTTTCCAGCTAAGAGTGTCTGCAATTAGGCCATTATTACAAAAATCCTCCCTGCATCCCACCAAATTAGAGAATGATCAACTAATCTCAAATATCCTTCTTTTGGGCCAAGTAGTGCAAGGTATGGTGGCCTCACAGTTGCAGGTTTTCCTGGTTGAAATGAATTATCTAGATTCATTTCAATTTGACTTCAGGCCTGGCTATGGGCAGAGACAGCTCTGGTGTCTTGTGATGACCTATACAAAGAACTACAAAGGGAAAGTGGTCCTGGCTCAATTCTCAATGGGTTTTAGAACCATCGACCATGGTATGCTTCTGAGTTGCCTCCCTGAGAGGGAAGTTTTGGGGCACTGTTTTATAGGGGCTCAAGTTTTTTTGGAGAGGCAGACTCAAGGTGGTACTGATGGATGCCCTCCTGAAATCCTAGATACTATCCTATGCCTTCCCTTAGAACAGTGGTTCTCAACTGTGGGTCCCCAGAGGTTTTTGGCCTACAACTCCCAGAAATCCCAGCCAGTTTACCAGCTGTTAGGATTTCTGGGAGTTGAAGGCCAGAACATCTGGGGACCCACCGGTTGAGAACTACTGCCCTAGAGCTCGGTTCTACCCCCATATTGCTTAACAGCTACATAAAAACACAAGGAAAACTTGTCTGGTGCTTTGGGATATGGTATCATCAGTATGCTCCAAGACTTCTAACTCTATCTCTCTTTTACATCCAAGTCAAGGAAAGCTGTTTCTGTAGTAAATTACTTTCTGCTGTTGGTAATGAACTAGATGAAGGTGAACCAATTGAAATTTTATCCAGACAAGACAGAGATACTCCTGGTCAGTTGGAAAGCAGATCGGGGAAAGAGGATTGAACCTGTGCTTGATGAGATTACAGTTCCCTTAACATTTCAGTTCACAACTTGAGTGTGGTTCTGGACTCAGATCTGAGCTTGGAGGCCAAAGAGAATTATTCTTATGAATTCTCACTATTTGACTTTTCTTTTCATTTTCCTTTCACTGCATTCTGAATGCCTATATAGTACACTTATTAATTATTTTTTAGTAGAAATCATTCATAGGCGACCCATAGTCTACTGCTTAGGATAGTGTTATGATATATTAATAATATTCTTCTGTATAAGCAAATACAGAAATCTTGAAATCAACAAAAATGAGTTGGAGGCCAATAAGTGGGTGAGATAGAAAGGTTTTAGGGGTCCGTGGCAGTGCCAACAAGAATTAAAGGAATGAAACAGTATTCTTCAGTTTGTCTCATTTTGTCAAACAGACTTTTTTTCTCTGCTTACCATTTCCACATCACATAAAAAACAAAGCAAGAAACAAACCTTGCATATTCAACTTTATCACCCAAGTACTCTGGTGATGGAATGATAAAGCATTGATGCATAAGCAGCATGAAGAAAGGAACATATAGTAGGGTTACAGCCTCCTCTAAATTCATGGATAAATGAAAATTCTTTCTAATTTAAAAGATTAGCCTCTGGAGAAAGCGATGTATCTAACAGATTACATATTCATTTACAATGCTTGTAACATCAGCTGCCAAATAGCCCAACAAAGCAATCAGAAAATATGTAAGAAATGAATGGGAAGAATTAATATACATATTATGATTAGTGAAACACAGCTGTCTCTTTTCAAGACATAAAATGCCAGGAAATGCAATCATGGAGGACATACAAGAAGGATCAGATGGAGTAATTTTTGTTTTAGAAAAACCACAACAGCTCTAGCTTTTGTATCTAATTTGGTAATGGAAAGATTCCCTGAATGACGTGTAAAATCCTTCTAACAGACAGAAAACAGCTCTAGGGTCATATGTTGACTATGATATTTCTAGAATCTAGAGAAGGTTTTGAAAAGGTGGTGAAACTTTTCAGATAGCTCCATGTATATATCCCTCCACATCCATAGGTTTCACTTTCACAGTTTTGCATATTTGTGGATTGGCCAGTGCTCCTAGAAGCTGGAGCTGGGAGTATGAGGAATCATCCCAGACACCTCTCAAAGTCAGGAAAGTATGGTAAATGATCCCAAGACACTCCTACCATGAGATCATCAGCATGGGCAGGGAAGCAATGGATCCAGGCCTGTAGTCAACAAAAAATTTGGGAGGAGTAGAAACTCAATTCCCCCCCCCCCCCCCAGATGACTTTTCATGTTAGTGTCTCCTGATCTGGCATGAGATCTCAACAAGGCCCTGAAATTACCATCATTGTGCAAAAGTTCTTCACAGGTAATAGGTCCTGAATTATTTCTCCTCTTAAAGCCAGTTCTTGTTGCCCACAAAGGACAATTGTTTCCACAATTTGCAGAAGATTCTGTTTTCTTCTGCTTTCTTCTCATTTACTTCACATGATGAGTTATATCAAGACTTTTCCATTGTGAATTAGCAAGAAGTTTTCAGCCAAGCACAAGTTGTTCTGATGGTACTTTTGGGGGGGGGGGTATTTGTTGAAGGGCCCTTCTACACTGGCCTTTATCGCAGGATCTGATCCCACATTATCCACTTTAAACTGGAATATATGAGTCCCCACTGCCAGATAACCTGGGATAAACAGATAAGCTGGGATCAGATCCTGGGATATAGGGGCAATGTAGAATGGCCCAAAGACTTCAACTGTATTTCTCCATTGCATCAATGGTTTAGCCACTGTGGTGGCCGTACGGGGAAAAATAAAATAATTATAATTTAAAATGAAAATAATGAGGAGAAAGGCTTACCTGTCTGTTCTTGAGGTGGAAAGCAGAGTCTTTGGTAGAAGGGAAATTTAACAGATGACTCAGAAACCTTTCAGGCTGGCTCTATCTTAAGTCAATATTTGAAGAAGCCAAGGTTAAAAGACTGGAGGTTGGGGTAGGAAACTTGGCACATGGGTTAAGTCAATAGTGTTGATTTGAAGAACTAACATTTAAAGGTTATATAGTAGTAGCGACACCTGCTGTCTGGTTGATGTAAATAGCAGGCAATTTAATACACCTCTTAATTGATCAATTGGAAAAACTGATGTATTGTGAATGTATTGTGAATGTAATTAAGAAGAATGAATAAGGAAAATGCTTGCTTTGAATAAATTAAAGATACGTATATGAAGACATATGTATGAAGAGAAATATATGAAATGATGATTCATTCTAAAGATTATGTAAGTCCTCTGGGAACGTAGTCAGCTGATGGAAGGGAAAACAGTGGAAATTATAGTGTCCTGCCAACAAGTGTTCTTGGCTGCGATTCCTCGAGGACAAACTGATGTTGATTAAGATTATGAAAATGTCAAGACTCTTATGCGCATGTGTAACCCTGAGAATTATGCTATAAATGCTGGAGCAAATCTGACTTCCAAGGTGTGTCAGATATTGTATTCTGAACACCCAATCAAGCTTGGTTGAATAAAGAGCCTGGAATCAGTTGCTGTCTCCTTTCTCTTCCTTCCTGATTGCACTCAACTGATCTCGGGTAACGAATCTGCTGCAACACCACCAATGCATCAAGCTTCTGATGGCCACCTTTACCCACAATTTCTCCATACACCACACCGTACTTACAGAGTGCACCTTGTACATGAAATGATAGGTTAACCAGGAAAATTTGCTAAACTATTTGAAATCTTAGGCCCCTTCCACATAGTTGAATAAAATCCTACATTTCCTGCTTTGAACTGGAATATATGGGAGTGTGGACTCAGATAACTTGGTTCAAAGCAGATATTGTGGGATTTTCTGCCTTAGTATTCTGGGTTATATGGCTGTGTGGAAATGCCCTAAGATGGCTCTTCTTGTCCACAGGAAATACATATCCTGGCAATGGAGTCTGTAGATTTTGCACTAATTTAGTTTTCACTTGGTCATCAGAAACAGTCTTGTTCATATAAAGTCCAATGACACAGCTTCTTCTCTTTGCTCCTGTTCCATTGTTTCCTTGGTAGGGCTTCCACTATGGTCACTTCCACTAGGTCAGCTATTGCTCCTATTGCAATGTAAATTGGTAGAAAGTTGGTAATGATAGTTTGAATAATCAAAATTTGGTTGAGATAGTGCTTGTAGTTCTGGAAGGACACTAATTTTGCTTCTCATATGCTTGGCAGGGTTTTTTAGCTAACCAGTTAAAATTCATGAGTAAACCAAGTTGGGTTTTTTTTACCTGAAAATTTTCAGGGATGGTTTGTGTCCCTAAACTGTCCTCTTGGCTACAGGCTATGGATCTCTCCCCTGCCACCATCTCCTCAGGATGGGAGTATCTTCAGATCATTTCAAAGATGCCCTGCCCACAGGGAAGGGGAAAGAGCTCTCTCACAATCCTGAATCTCCCAAGTGTGCAGCCTCTTAGGATCATTCCAAAGAGGTCGCCATGCACAAGGGAAGACAGGAAGGAGAGATCCTTTCTCCTGTGAATCTGAAGACTCTGAATGCATTTTGATGAAACTGCTGAACAGCTGATTTACTCCAAGAATACATCATTTTATTATTAGTTTTCAAGCTTTAAATACCTTTATTACTCTTCAGAACAAGATCAAATGGAATCATTCCATCATAATCAGTCATTAAAGCCATCTCTTAAAGTTTATTAGCGATCACATATCTAGATTATCCAGTGGTACTGTCAATACGAAAGTAGGTCTTTGGAAATAATCAAGTCTAAAAAAAATTAAAAAGCAGTTTTAACCTGCTTTTTAAAATCAGTGAAAGCTAAAACAAAATATGTGTATAGAAATTATGTTGACACAAGTCTGTTGCTACAATTTAGATATATACTCTGATGGGATATCTTCTATATATGTGGTCAAGAAGGATGTCAAGCAAACAGGTTAAATGCAAAATAAATAATTGGGGAGAGAAACCCATCTCATCTCCTAAAGCTATAATTTATCACCAGAGCTATAAAATAGTTTGAAAGTTATTAATAGTTGTATTTCTCTCCCCACCACTACCATAAGGTTCTGATTTTGCAGTGAAGATTTTGCTGAAACTGAAGAGGGTTTGAAATGTTAGGAGAACTTCAAGAGACATGCCTAGAAATAAATTCAACACCGAGGAAGCAAGCAAAATGGATATTATTTGCTGTAATTTAGAAGTATGCATTTAATTATATCTTGCATATGGCTTGTTTGGAAGAAAACCTACCTTGCAGTAGTGCAGCAATTTGGAGTGATTGTTGTGATGGGTGTTCTTTAAGAATATCTAACACAGTTCTGCCCAAACTGTCCTTTATATTAGCATCTATTCCTGAAACAGAGAAAATATGTTATATTATTTATTATTTATTTATTTACTATATTTATACCCAAGGGGGACTCAAGGCGGCTTACAGATAGGCAAGAATTCAATGCCTTAACAACAATGTACAATTAAAATAAACATTTATATTCATTTAAGATCAAAATTGTAATACATTAAAACATTTTAAAAACATAACAGTCACTATAAAACCATGCTATCTGCAAACATATTATGGAAAAATTAAAAGTATAATCCTAACTCTCAAATCCATTAGCTTTAACAGTTGATAACCTAGAACATGGCCATATAGCCCGAAAAAAACCTACAACAACCCAGTGGATAACCTGTTGGAAAGGAAATCTGATAATTAAGATCAACAGTTCAGCTCGATCCCAGATCCCAACCTGAGACTTAGAGATCACCTCTTACAATACTACAGCAATGAGCTCTGGTGATATTAAAAGGGGGCTACCTTCTAGTAAAAAAATTAACACAGTGCCATATGCACCGACCACAGTTGCTGAGAGGATTCAAACAAAAAACAGGAAGTCTAACAAATGAAGAATATATCTACATAAGCACACATACATTTTTCATGGCAGAAATTCTTGCCCTGAAATTCTTCCTGTCTCTACTTTAGGATTGGGAGGGAAATATCCAGGCTCTCAGATCTGGGAAATCCCTAACAATCAAAAGTATGGATGTGGAGAGCTCTGAATGCATGGATCTAGTGAATAATGTTTTGATTGGCGCTACGCTTTGAAAAAAGTGTTCTAGTGATAGAAGCAGTCTTGAATACTCCTACAAGATGCCATAGTCTAAAAAATGGTGCAGGCATTTCATAGAATCATGGAATCATTGAGTTGGAAGAGACCTTGTGGACCATCCAGTCCAGCCCCTTGTCAAAAAGCAAGAAAATTGTATTCAAAGTACCCCGACAGATGGCCATCCAGGCTCTGTTTAAAAGCCTCCAAAGAAGGAGCCTCCACCATACTCTGGGGCAGAGAGTTCCACTGCTCAACAGCTCTCACAGTCAGAAAGTTCTTCCTAATGTTCAAGTGGCATCTCCTTTTCTGTAGTTTGTTTCCCTTTTAATTCCAGCAGGATGAGAGTGATTTTAAAAATTAAAAATTGCTTGCAATTAAGAGAAAATAAATATACCTTCATCCATTCAATATCTATTTTCCTCCACTAGGACATCCCAGCAGGATACTGGAAGTTGTTGAGAATCCTCCATTTCACTCAACTTAGTGATTTCTAAAGATGTTAGCTCAACTACAAGAAGTACTCATTGAATATACAGTAGTAAAGATATACAGTAGTAATAAATAGAATTAATAACATAATAACCCTCTTGGCATCAGATATGGAGAAGCAACCAATAATAAAATTAAATAACATGTTTTGAAACAAAATAAATAAATGTTTTGAAACAAAAATATTAGAAACAAACTAGAACTCATTTGGAAAATAATTATGACACACCTGTTTCTAGCAGAATGCGTACTACATCCACTTTTCCAAACAAAGCTGCTTCGTGCAATGCACTCCCCTTTTCTGTCTGGAAAAGAATAAATTAAAGACAATCTAAAATATTATAAAATAGCATACAAATGATGACAAACAAATCTCACAAAGAACTAAAAAAAATGTCCTAGTGAGTTCTGTGAAAGTAGTGATAATCAAAATTCAGAAATAACAGACTGAAAACATCAGTTATACTAAAGTGACGATTAGCTGCTATATTTATCAAACAGTTTCTCCAGAAATGCTTCTCTGGCTTCCAATAATGATGACATTTTTCACCGTCAAAAGCACCCCACTAACATATCACATGCACTAGAATTTTTGGAGGTGCATGTGATACGCTGTTCATTGTCACTTCTACTCTTACTAAAACTTTCAGAGATTACTGTGAAACTCAGAATATTTGGGAAACAATATGGATCACTGTATACATTAATCACATTCATGTACTACTGCCAAATACAAACTTTGCATGCAAAAAATACACATGATTTATCAAAAAGCCACCACAAAAAGATTTAAGGCCTATCTCACTGTAATAAACATATCTTGTTTTGCATCCCACTAGAAAATTTAGGTATCTGGGCCTTTGATATGATTTCTCATACTATAAGCTCTTTTGCATTTGAACTCACTCAACATCCATGATAATATGTATACTAGAAATATTGCAGGAATGTGGTGTTTGTTGACCTTTGCATAAAATCTCTAACATGACAATGCATTTAAATCTAAATCATGTTCTTTTTGTGATATCACTCTATAATTGGTCCATACCAGTCTCACATGTATTCAAGCATATGTCTATTATGTCATCTTTGCACAAGAAATTGACATGTATATGTATTTTCCATGCAGCATAGGCATTGCTTTATTCTTTATTCTTTAACCAAGAACTGCACTGCAAAAGACAGAAAAGGTGGACCTTTTATTCTTACAAGAATGTTACAAGAGATTGGGGGACAGCACTCCATTATTTAATGATAGGATTTGGAGTCAGGTTTATGATTCTAGAGGCTCAAATTGAGCACGTAATGTGGTGATTTTAATTAAAAACACAATAGATTTCCAGATGGAAAAGTAAAAAGGTATTTAGAGGGGAGTAATGATAAAAGGAAAAATAGAAAAAAATAGAATTACTCTGGTCCGTATATACGCCCCAAGCAAAAATCAAAAAAGGTATATAAAACAGGTATTTAGAAAGGTGGATAAGTTTGCACAAGGGGAATTACATTGTGCGGGGGATTACAACTTGGAATTAGCATCAACAAGGCAAAGTAATAATAGGAAGTTAAATATAAGAGAATACAACATGCATGATCTATTAGAAGAGGAATCGGAGAATAATACATGGACATATTATCCAGGAAGACATGGTACATATAATAAAATAGATTATATTCTGGGGAAAAAGACAAACCAATAATTGATTCTAGAGGCAAAAAATACTTCCAATATATCTGTCAGTTCATGAACCATTAAGAGTAAAAGTAAAATTAGATATAGAGAGAAAAGAAAGAACCTGGAGATATAATACAATTTTAAACAGTAGAGAGGAAGAATATGAAATGAAAAGGAAATAAGTAATCAAGTATTTTGAGACCAATGATAATGCACAAGACAGAGAAGTATAAAGCCTGAATGATGGTGCATTCTTCTTATATCTGAACTAAGGAAGAGATTACCTAGAAATTGAAGGAATATGGAAAAGTGATATCATACTTCATCATCACATCTGAATCTTTTGATGATGTGGAGAGTACAATATATTAACCAGTAGCATAGCAGCAAGAATGGTTAAATTAGTAACTTCCTAGTGCTTCCTTTGTCCTACAATGGAGAATCACTCCCCCCCCCCCAAAAAAAAATCCCTGGTAATGCTTTTTAGTTATAAATCAACTCAAAACACTGTACATTTGACTGTACTATCTTCCACTGCTGATGTCATAGTAAGAAAAGAAGATGTAAATCTCCAGCAATCTTGATGTTAGCACTGTGTTGAATTGATATAGTAACATTACTCCTCCATGTTCAAATTAATACACAGACGTATTGACATTGAGGGAAGTTTAGCGGAGTTGCCTAATGAGGATATTTGAAAAACAGTCATTCCATAATAGCATGTGTATGCTTGCCAACTGATCTTAGGTATTATTTCTTATTTTCATTTAAGTGTTCTTCATCGAGAGAAAGGCCTCCCTTGCAGATCTTAATGCTTACACTGTCTAATATAGATAATCTGAATCCAAGCAGTCCAAAACGTGAATGGTCTGGAAGTTAATGTAGCTGATTCAACAGGGATCCCTGTAGCCACTCCACAGCCTGGCCACAGCATTTTGGACTCACTGTACAGTCTACATATGCAGACCAACACAAAAGACATTGCAGTAATTCAGACATAATGGAATTGTGGCATGTGTCATTACAGTGAGATCTGACCTCTCAAGGAACAGAGGCAGCTGTCTTGTGTCTCTGTCTTCTTGTCTCTACCTGCTCCATAACTTTCTCAAATGCCTCTCAGTACTTTTCTTCCTTCTTTATTCCTCTTACAAAACTGATCTTTCTTCACTCCTTCCTTCTTGCCTTTGTCCTCATGGGTGCAGTTTATTTTGCAACTCAGCTGATTGATGATTTCATTCTATGACCAGTTTCCACATCACAGAGCAAAGGTACACATCACTGCAAGAACCCGGATGACCACAGAGAGATGGTGAAACTTGCAGATTTATCCACCCAGGCCCACTGTTTTCAGTGTTTAATGTTAAAGTGTGTGTTGGAATCCTGGGGTATTCAGTCAGACTAGTGTTTCTAAGAAGTTCCTCCTGTCTAACTTAAAGCTATTAAATCAAGTGGGTTCTAAATGGTCTTCACTAGTTTGAAAAAAAAAACCTGTCTGGGTAGACCTATTGAAAGAGATAGGTCTTCACTTCTGTCTTAAATTCCGATAGCTGATCTAGTTGTTGGAGCTCTACCAGCAGGTCGTTCCACAGTCATGGAGCAAGCAATGAAAAGGTCCTCTGGGTGATGGTTGCTAGTCAGGTTCTGTCAGGCTGGAGGAGATGCCCCCCGCCCTGATGACATGTGTTTGGGGCAGATTATATGGGAGTAGTACCTGAATTCCACTGGTTTTTGATTTGCACAATCACCACCCATTTTGCACCCCTTTGTTGCAATCTCTTTTTTTAAAGTTCTATATATGGCTACTGAAAAGAGAAATAAATGAGTCCTAAACCAAATCAAAAGTGGAAGAAGACAACAGAATAGGAAGGACAAGAGACCTCTTCCAGAAAATTAGAAACATTGGAGGTAAATTTCAGGCAAAAATTGGTATGATAAGAAACAAAGATGGCAGGGACCTAACAGAAGCTGAAGAGATCAAGAGAAGGTGGCAAGACTATACAGAAGATCTGTATAGGAAGGATAATAATATTGAGGATAGTTTTGACGGTGTGGTGAATGAATTAGAACCAGACATCCTGAGGAGTGAGGTTGAATGGGCCTTAAGAAGCAGTGCTAACAACAAGGCAGCAGGAGACGACGGGATCCCAGCTGAACTGTTTAAAATCTTAAAAGATGATGCTGTCAAGGTGATGCATGCCATTTGCCAGCAAATATGGAAAACACAAGAATGGCCATCAGATTGGAAAAAATCAACTTATATCCCCATACCAAAAAGGGGAAACACTAAAGAATACTCAAACTTTCGTACAGTGGCCCTTATTTTTCATGCCAGTAAGGTAATGCTCAAGATCCTGCAAGGAAGACTCCAGCAATACATGGAGCGAGAGTTGCCAGATGTACAAGCTGGGTTTAGAAAAGGCAGAGGAACGAGAGACCAAATGGCCAATATCCGCTGGATAATGGAGAAAGGCAGGGAGTTTCAGAAAAACATCTATTTCTGTTTTATTGACTATTCTAAAGCCTTTGACTGTGTGGATCATAATAAATTGTGGCAAGTTCTTGGTGGGATGGGCATCCAAGCCACCTTGTCTCTCTCCTGAGGAATCTGTACAAGGACCAAGTAGCAACAGTCAGAACTGACCACGGAACAACAGACTGGTTCAAGATTGGGAAAGGCGTACGGCAAGGCTGCATACTCTCACCCAACCTTTTTAACTTGTATGCAGAACACATCATGCGATGTGCGGCGCTGGATGAATGCAAAGCTGGGGTGAAAATTGCTGGAAGAAACATTAACAACCTCAGATATGCAGATGACACCACTGATGGCCGAAAGCGAGGAGGAGCTGAGGAGCCTTCTAATCAAGGTGAAAGAAGAAAGCGCAAAAGCCGGGTTGCAGCTAAACGTCAAAAAAACCAAGATTATGGCAACAAGAATGATTGACAACTGGAAATAGAGGGAGAAACGTGGAGGCTGTGACAGACTTTGTATTTCTAGGTGCAAAGATTACTGCAGATGCAGACTGTGGCAGGAAATCAGAAGACGCTTACTTCTTGGGAGGAGAGCAATGTCCAATCTCGATAAAATAGTAAAGAGTAGAGACATCAGACTGGCAACAAAGATCCGCCTAGTCAAAGCCATGGTATTCCCTGTAGTAACCTACGGATGTGAGAGTTGGACCTTAGGGAAGACTGAGCGAAGGAAGATCGATGCTTTTGAGCTGTGGTGTTGGAGGAAAGTTCTGAGAGTGCCTTGGACTGCGAGAAGATCCAACCAGTCCATCCTCCAGGAAATAAAGCCCGACTGCTCACTGGAGGAAAGATATTAGAGACAAAGTTGAAGTACTTTGGCCACATCATGAGAAGACAGGAAAGCTTAGAGAAGACATTGATGCTGGGGAAAATGGAAGGAAAAAGGAAGAGGGGCTGACCAAGGGCAAGATGGATGGATGGTATCCTTGAAGTGACTGGCTTGACCTTGAAGGAGCTGGGGGTGGTGACGGCCGACAGGGAGCTCTGGCGTGGGCTGGTCCATGAGGTCACGAAGAGTCGGAGACGACTGAACGAATGAACAACAACAAACCAAATCAAACCGGAACTCTCCCTAAATGTCAAGATGATGAACTGAGACTTTCATAAATTGGTCCTATAATGATAAGATACGACTCACTAGAAAAATAATGCATGGTAAGGTAGAAAAGTAGTTGGGGGGAAGACTGTATTCCAGAAGGACAGGCTTCATCAAGGGAGCCATAGACCAGAGCTGTCAATGATAGGGTAACTCTGAGGTGTCTTGTTAATGGGATCATGGTAGATCTAAGTTGACTTGATAGCAGTTATGCACAAAAAGAACAAGTACCATGAGTGCCATGAGTTTTCCATTTGCACAGTTTCTATCCATTTGTACTTGTGGTCTCCTAAAAAATACCACAATGTGTCCAACTTTCTACACAACTAGAAACATGTGCATAGATCAGTTATGGATATCTTACAAAATTGAACGAAAACAGCCTTCATTTCGTGTAGCAAACTCCGACCACTGCAATCAATAACTTGAATCACTTGGCAATAACAAATACAAATATAAGAAAAGTAAATTCATTGTACAAAAATTTTAAGTTCATTCATAAACTAGAAGGGTGCCAAGGTAAAACATAAAAAACAGGAAGCTGTTTGGAAAATAAATTAAATGTTTACCATAAAGTGTTGGATAACATAGCAGAAAACTGAAATTGTCCTGAAAAAGAAAACAAAAATATAAAACCAAAGAAAAGAAGGAAGTAAAAAACTTATAACTAAATAAATTCTAAAACTAAAAAGTAAATGGCAAATAAATTATCACATCAGCTGTAGCCTTATACCTTGACTTCCAAATAAGTTTTAACAAAACTTATTTGGAAGTTCATGTCAGCAAAACATGTCAGCAAAACAACAAGAACATTGGGAATGCTTCAGAATCTCAGGTAGTAATATGTGAAGAAGTACTGTATGTTCACCTCAATTAACAAACTGCATGTGTTCCTGTGCACTGGACAGAAAATTTCATTTCAGACAGAAATAACAAGGAAAGAATTGCGATAAATCCCACATTACAAAAGGAGGGAAAAGAAAGGGAAAAAAGAACAGCAGATCATTATATTTCAGTAAAAAAAGTATACAAAAGTAAACAATATATGCATGTGAAATTGAATGACCAGGAGTGCATCTTGGCTCGCTAAAAAGGTGATGCTGATTCAGAGTGGGATATTCCAGATCAGCATCAGTGGAGGCTAACCTGAACAAGCCCAAGACAGCTCTCAAGCTGGATGAGAGCTGAACTGTGCAGCCCTAAACTGTCCTGATGGCTGGAAGCCCAATTTGACTTTGACCTTCACCTCTCCCTCCTTGATCTGGCATTTGTACTATCTACTGGGCAGCGCAAATGACTCTCTTTCTTTCTCAGAGCTTGGAATGATAATATCCGAAAAATCAAGTGACATGAGAGAGGGTACGGAGGAAAAAGGAATAGCTCCCTCCTCTTCCTCCCCTTCTCCAATGAACACTGTCATTTTCATGCCCAGTGGGCACCAAGATAGCAGAGCAAAGGGGCAAGGTGGGTGTCATCCTCTGTCCTCAAGTTGCCCAAGTTTGGGGAAAGTAGAGAGACAGTGTAACCAGCTTTGGTTGCTTCTCAAGTAAAAAATGGTACAGTTGACTACAAGTGCCCAAAGTTGTGGGTTATTCCAGAGTCCCACAACTTCTATTAATGCAATTCAAGTCTGCATTAAGCAGCTTTGGTTTATGCTACAATGAATCAGCTCAGTGCAGCATGCCATGGAGCTGATTTGCCCTCCCTCCTTGGGGGTAAAGTGTAAGTGAAGATGCACTCGAGGTCATGTAAGCCTTGCATGGATGAACAATAATATTTTTTAACCTTCTAGAAATCTCTTGAAAGTTTCTTACAAAATACATTCAGGAATGGATTTTCTTTTAATCAGTCTACTTTTGATTTGATCTTGGTGGCTTTCCTCTTTTCTACATTACTGTTCACAGTCAAAAATAGATTCCGAAGGCAGTTGTTATTTACCTTGTTTCTTAAAGAAAGGTCCATACTACTACAGTAGAATTGGCTAGAGTAAAATCCCTTTCTCAAACTTTATTGCATTGTTTACAGCAGACACGCTGCTGCAACCCAACATTAAAAGTTTGTGTTTCTCTTCCTTCACCCTCCTCCTAATACTAATGCTGGTACAAAACTTTCAGCTAGACTGAAAACAATGAGGTAAAGATAACTGCGCAGATGAAAAAACACACTATAAAAAGAACTTCTTTTTTTAGAAACTTTGATAATTGATGTATGCTTATACTTGTTAATATTTATTTAGAAGTTACTGTGCTCTAATCATGTTTGGCAGCAAAGAAATAAGGAGTGAAAAGGAAGGTTAACCTTTCTTTTAGTAATTCTGAAAGTGAGTGGGTGAAAGAACAGTGATAAATTGGAATTTAACACTTTCAATGAAATGTTTTTATGATCTTGTTGCATAAAGTCTTTATATTTTGTATTACATGCATAACAATAAAAATGACTTAGAGAAGTCTGGCAAGTAATAACATGGACTGGAAAGAAGGGAATTGTGTTTAGTTGTTGCTGTTGTATTTTATGGTGAAATTATACATTTTGTTATCAATATGATGCTTTACTCCCCACCGACCCACCCCCACAATCCTCCCAAAAGAACACACCTGTATCTTCCTGTTTATGCTATCCATTTTTATTAGGAATGCAAGACAAACTATAATGTAACACTTTAAACCAGAGGTGTCAAATTCATTTTCACCAAGGGACACATCAACCTTATTGTTGCCTTCAAAGGGCAACTACCTTGCCCTGGCATTTAAATTCTCATGAGCCACATAAAATGATGTAGTGGGCCAGATTCGGCCTGCAGGCCTTGCATCTGACATGTGTGCTTTAAACTATAGTTCTCATTTATTATTTGTCACTGCTAATAAAATATTAACTTTACTGAGATATTAGGGCATGCAGTATTTATAAAGCAGTTATCTGAAAGCCAAAAGCTCCCTTGATCTCACATATGAATATTATTTAAGTTGCAAGCTAAAAGTCCTGGGGGAAAGGGGGGTCACACAATGGAGCCTCTTTGGTTCAGATATGTAAGCCATTATTAGCTTGAAAACTAAAAACACTGACTGGAAGTTCCTTTGGCCCAATATTTGGGAATGCTTCACTTCCCACACACATAAGAGCTCACCAGCTTCAGCATTTTCAGGAGTCTGGAGTGGCTGCTGTGATATAAAAAGCTGATGAACTCTGTCTCCAATAGCACTGTTGCATGTCCCTACATATGGCTCTATTATGCAACAAAATAATGCCAGATTCCCAACCAGTAAGTATGAACTTCAGTGAAATGACCTTTTCACTATCTTAAAATGTCACAGTGGACCAGGTAGTTTAAAAAACCAAGAGGGAATTAATTGATAATTATAGTTGATAGCATTTTTATTTGCCCTTATATTTTGCAAGGGCTGCTCTCAAATTACGTAGCTTTAAATTTGCACAACATGATAAAAAGGAGGAGATACTTTATATGTCCTCAGTTTAAATGCCGGACTTGGCTCTTTGAAGGATTTCCAGAGGAAAAGATCAAATCAACACACAACACACTGAACAACGAGGCAATGTGCTAGAGAAACATGCTGTTCCATCCAATCTGCAACCTATAAATTACTATTTATTTTTCTTAAACAGCTTTATGATATTTCATTATGATATTGCAATTGTAGCAGTTGTGTCATAGCTACAGGAACACAACAAAGCTGAATAGTTGAAATTATTTATTAATTTACACCCCACCTTTCTCATCCCGAAGGGGACTCAAGGCAACTTACAAACTCCAGCAAAAATTCAATGCTGTATCACAGACATAACAATAAAACCAATATAACAATAAACATACCCTATAAAACTATAAAATCATTAAACATATGAGCAAATAAAACTCATAATACAATAAAAAAGATTAAAACCTAAAGTTCCGAGTCTTGATTTTATACTTATTAGTTAGTTCATAGTCATTATCCAAAATGTTGAGGTTGAATTCCGTACTAGCCTATTCTCCAAACACCTGTATACAGAGCCAGGTCTTTAGGGGTTTTTTTCTGAAGACCAGGAGGGATGCGGCCTGCCTAGGGAGGGAGTGACTGAGGGACCACCCTGAGAAGGCCCTGTCTCTCATCCCCACCAGTTGCACTTGTGAAGGAGGTTGAACCGAGTAAGGCCTCCCCAGTCAATCTTAAAGCTCTTGTTGGCTCATAAAGGGAGATGCGTTCAGACAGGTAAGTTGGACCAGAACCGTTTAGGGCTTTATATGCCAGAGCCAGCACTTTGACTGACAGCCAGTAGAGCTTGTGTGCTCCCTGTATGCCTCTCCAGTGAGGAGTGTGACTGTCACCTGTTGGATGTTTCAAGCAGTTTTCAGAGGCAGCCCCACGTAGAGCACATTGCAATAATCTATTTGAGATGTAACACCGTGGCCAAGTGTGGCTTCCCAAGGTAAATAGTACTTTAAAATAAAATAATACTAACCTGGCAACTGACATCCATCCCAGCTTCCAATAGCACTTGTACAACAGATTTGTGGCCATTACGTGCAGCTAGGTGCAAAGGAGTATGCTTTCTTGTGTTACAGCTCATCAAGTTTGGATAGGCATTGATTATCATTTTCACTACCCGTAAACGGCCATACAAAGCTGCCAAATCCAATGGTGTCTCTAATTTGCTGTTTCTTATTGTTGGATCAGTGAGCTCATCAAGCAAAACAGCTACCACTTCTGAATGTCCATACTGGGCTGCACAGTGCAAGGCTGTTTCATTTTCATTATTCTGTTAAAAGAGAAAAAAAATGATGAATTGATAACTAAAAATTTTCTATAGTTTTCTGAAGTAAACTGTTTGAGCTATATATGAGTAACATTATTGTGTAACACATTTGCAACTAACTGAGGAAAAGAAATGGATGGCATAAGCTTTCACTGACTTCTAATTAATCTGATGTGTGGAGTTAAATGCCTAGGAACAATTGTCTCCTGGCAAACTACACTTATTGTAACACTAATCAACACTCCCACCTTATAAGAGCTATCCTGGGGTGTATGCATATTATAGAACTAATGTAGTTTGGCGCCACTTTAACTACCATGGCTCATTGCTATGGAATCATGGGAGCTGTAGTTTTGTAAGATGTTTAACCTTCTCTACTAAATAACATTTGTGCTTCACCAAACTACAACTCCCATGCATCCTTAGCAGTGTCAAACTGCATTACAAGTACAGTGTATTGTAGATGCAACCTCTGCCAGTTTGTCACATCTTCTTTCTGGTTCCAGCCAGGATTTGACTACATCCCAATAACTCCACCATTCGTAATGTTAATGGGTTTAGGGAAGATCTTTCCTTCTGCCTTTGTCCCTCAATGACCATAGTTAAAACTGAACATGTCACCTGATCGTGATATCCGCATGTTTTGCATTTATTTTGCTATTCCCACATACGGCCTGCTACCAAATGTCTGTTTCTGTTTGACCCATTGTTAATTAACTGGAGTTTGTTATATATTAAAATTCTGCCATTTCTCTTTCCAATATTCCTTTGTAGGTATGAGATGGTCTGCCCAGGAAGACTGAAGTATTCTGAATTTTGTGTATTCCCATTCCTAATGTCTGTGTTCATTTATCCTCTGGTCTGCTTGCCCAATTAGAGTACTGAAGGACACTGCTGAGGATGGTAATTTTTTAACATCAAAGGATGAGCAAATGAAGGTACCTCTGATATTGTGGGTGATGTGACGAGGTCCTGTGGTAAATTTGTGGGCAGTGTTGGCATTTGTGTTTGTGGAAAGATCCTGTACCTGTCTTCTCATCTGTGCTATGTTTTCCTGTAGGTAAGTACTATTTGAGTTTGAGAGATGGTATATAGGTAAGTAAAGGGCTGCCACTAAGAGTCTTTGAGAGGGCAGAATTGCAGGTTGTAGTTCATTGAGGTGAGTCATTTCAATTGAGAGTTGGACGTCACCACTAATGGGATTCTGCTATAACTGTATAGTGGTGTCCAGAAAGTGAACTTGCTCTGTTGATAATTCCAGGTTGAGATCAATTATAGAGAGGAAATTCCTGAAATTCTGGTAAAATGTCTTGAGTTTTCTCCATGAATCCAAATTATAAAGATATCGTCAATGTATTTTAAGGCTAGGAGAGGTTTCTGGGTGCCGGAGTCAAGAAATATTGTTTTAACTCAGCCATTAAGATGCTGGAATATTGTGATGGCTTGTGTGTGTTCATGGCAGTACCATTAACATTCAGTTATATATCATTACCGAGAAATGCTAGAAAATGTGGCAATTTCTGCTACCTACAGCCACCTCTCCACAAAAGCCAACATCAGCGCTGAAATACAACACCATCTGAGCTGTGCAAGTGAAACATTTTTTCAAATGGTTCTTATGGGGTTTTTTGGGCTATAGAGCCATGTTCTAGAGGCATTTCTCCTGACGTTTCGCCTGCATCTATGGCAAGCATCCTCAGAGGTTGTGAGGTCCTCACAACCTCTGAGGATGACCTCACAACCTCTGAGGATGCTTGCCATAGATGCAGGCGAAACGTCAGGAGAAATGCCTCTAGAACATGGCTCTATAGCCCGAAAAAACCCACAAGAACCTAGTGATTCCAGCCATGAAAGCCTTCGACAATACATTTTTTCAAATGTTGCAGAGAGGACATCAGGACATCCATAGGGATCCCATGATGATTGTTTATCAACCTCCTGTATGTAATCAGATTTGTCCATGATGACTACAGCTTCTTTGTCAGCCTTGTTGATGACAATATTAAGATATTTCATAAGACTGTGTACTGCATCTTATTACTTGTGACAGAAAACAAAAAACAGTTTCAGAACTCTTCAATCTTCCTGGATATTCCATCTCAGACCTCAGAACAACGGTTCTTGGAGATAGGGGGAAAAAACCCTTTTAAGGAAGAGTGGAAAGAACTGCAACTCATCCTTAAACTCTAGTCCATCAATAGTGGGACTGTGGCTATGGTTTTCTGGCACACTTCACATATCGTAACACTAGTTAACATTCCAGCCTCATGAGTACTCCTTTTTGGTTCCCAAACAGCGTTACATTCACATAGTTATCTATTCATCTTGACTTAGGGCAACATTTTTCTTCCTGCCTCTGGCCCCCAATGACCATCATTAAAACTGAACTTGTCACCTCATCACTATACTTACATGTTTTGAATTTTTATTGCTACTCACACATACAGCTTGCTCAAAAGTACAAAAGTGCATCTGATGAAGAAGACTTCAGTCTATGAAAGCTTTTGCTACTAATTCTTTCTCTCCGTTAGTCACAAAAGTTATTACAAAAACCCTTTGCATACTGATCCAGACCAACATGGCTATGTATTTAAATCAATAATCATAGATATGCTGTTACATCATATAACTTAAGCATCTCAGTTTTCCCTTCTATTGTAATTGGTTCAGCCTCCCATTATAACAAGGAGAAGAACATTGACTTTACTGTGAAGCCTCATCAGAAGATCCTTGCATATTTTGTTGAGGGCATAATGAAGTGAACCAAAGAGAAAGTCTGCTTGCCCAACACATTTATTTAAACAGTTCATAAACCTGCCAAGCGATATATGTGTATAGAAACAAGTCATAATTTACTCTTATGAGTCTAGAACACTGAGAATAAGGTTTGTGCCTATAAGAAAAGGAAAACAAACATTAGTCATATTTATTAGTCTTATTCTGCCATGTTTTAAATATCAAATTATTTTTTTTCTAATTGCCACTTTTGTTCCTGTTGACTGATAGAAAGCTGGCATGATTTTTTTGATGGCATCTCTCCAAAAATGCAAGAGCTCTGACTTGGAATTCTAAGATTCTACTGCATGTGCAGAAGCCTTCTGCTGCCATATGGCTGTGAATGATTTCATCCCCTGTCCTCCAAAAACCACCCCAAAGAGACCGCCATGCCAGATTTTAAGGGACACACAGTGCATATGGGGAGCAAACTGCTTTTACCCCCTGCTCCCAAATAAACAGAAGTATATTCTGTTGCTTAATGAGTTCTTTAGAGGCAAGCATATTTGACATTTCCATTCTATATAAATAGTATCATGTTAAATTGTAGATATGTATATCACATTTGCAGATAAATAAATACAGCATTTGTTTTTAATTTATTGGCATATATACAAAGCAAGGATATATCACACATAATTTTCACAATTAGATTATAAACCAATACAAGATGTCAATTATGAGGTTTTAAAGCACAATCAAACACATGCTTCATCATTACAATTTAGATTTATATTTGTTGTTACAATTCAGATTTATATTTTCTTTATTAGTACATATTGAGTATCTCTTATCTAAAATACTTGGGACCAGAAGTGTTCTGTATTCTGGAATTTTTTTTACAGATTTTGGAATACTTGCATATACATAATAAGATATCTTGAAGACGGGACCTATGTCTAAACACGAAATCCATTCATGTCTCATTTACACGTAAAATGCATAGCTTGAAGGTACAGTATTAAAAAAAAAATACTCTTGTGCATGAAACAAAGTTTGTGTACACCAAACCATCAGAAAGCAAAGATGTCACTGTTTCAACCACCAACATGGACAATTTTGATTTTGAGTATTTTATATTTTGGAATTCTGAATAAGGGATATTCATTCTGTAATAAGACATGCCATGGAAAACAATAATGTATAGGGCTATACCATTTTTTTCAGATCTAAATCCAACTGCTATCCCAACTAGACTAGAACTAGTGAAAATTACTGTCGAAAATCCTACTGATTCAGTAGGTCTTCTCTATTTGGGATTAGCAGTTGGACAGGGTGAGGTGGAAATTATGCTGCCTTCTAGCTTTGGCTGAACCACATTCTCCTCACCATTAGATAACTGGCTAAGGTTGCTGGGACTTGCAATCCAATAGTATGCAGAAGGCCATGTGAATTCCACCCTGGATTAGGTATAAGTTTTTCTGAATAATAATGTATTTGAATCAATATCAACACGGAAACACTGAATAATTATTTAAAACCCCTAAAAATGGTAAGATATAAAGAAAAAAGTCTAGTCACATTCATATTAAGCACTTATTTAGCAACCAGTGTTTTCTTTTTTCAATTTGCAAATGAGAAAGAGAGATATAATAAGATATGTAAATATACTATGTTTTGTAAAGCAACAGCAGACTTTGTGTGGCCATAGATGTTTTATTGGACTATAAATCCCAGCACACAAGGATATGTTAAATTGGTTCACAGTCATCCACTGGGCCCTACATTTTCCACCCCAATACAAATGCTGTAAATCCTGTTTTTGTAAAAGAAAAAGAAAAACTTTTTTTAAAAAAATATCTTAACACAAATTAGGAACTCTAGCACAGACTTGGCTCAAATCTCCTAAGTCTTATTATTAAATTAAACTACAAACAATCAACTCAAGAGTAGAAAAACAATGTTTTCAGCTCTTAAAGCTGCAATCACAATATTGCCAACACAATACACATTTAAAATTGCTTTATTTAAAATGAAATCAATGTCAAAACTAGTGATGCATTATGTTGCTGCACTGCTTAAAATCTTTCAGGCAATTAATATTTACTTTAAACACCACATTCCTACATCACCATTTGGGAATAATACATTTGAATTATGAAATTGATGAAAATCTCAAAGGAAGTATGACAGATAAATACCTATTAAGATAAAATTGTTGGTTTAAAAAAACAGATTTTGCTGGGTGGATTAGCAAAGAATGGGAACATGTTTGTATTACTTAATTT